ATTCCTGCTACATGCACACACAGAACTTTCCACTCCATCCTTAAGAGGAGAAACCACAGCCCATCCAGCCCTGACAGCAGATTATCCATCCAGAAATAGGAGAGTTTCCAAACTTTGGGACCGCAGGCAGATGCTGCCTGCCAACGCTGAACTTGACATCGCCCTAAATGCCTCAAAACTCCCTGGAAATGTTTCTCTCCCCACAGCTGCTGTTTCAAAATGCCCAGGGGAAAGCAAAACAACTCTCCTCCCCAAAGTCGCTTTTAGGAGACAAATGCCTTTGTTGACGCAAGGACAGAGGTGGCTGCAGAGCAGCAGCCTGAGACCACTAGGGAAGTATCCCAACACAAGGACACAGCATGCAAGCACACCAGAGTCCGTCTAAAATAAAGGCAGGTTGCACTGGCTGGTACACCACACCCTTAGGATGGCAGCAGGCAGGCAGAGATGCACAATGCTCTCTCCCAACCAAGATGTCTTGCCCTCCTTCACTAAAATTCATTTAAATTACCCTCAACATTTCTACAGAGGTTTTGCTCCACACATGCATTCTCCAAATTCACCTGGTTCCTCAGTGCTGACAGAATTTTGATTGGCTGCCACAGTTTTATGGCAGGAATACACCTCTGTGCCCTTTTTCAGCTCTGTGGCAAGCAGAACTGTCACAGGTGCGTGATGTCTAGAGATGAAGGGATGTGGGAAAACTGCCTCACAGGCACGCAGTCCTCAATCCACCAAAAAGGATGAAGTCCTCAACGCACAACCCCCTGCCCCTTCCCCCAAGAAATCACATTCATGCTATCAAAATCCTTTTAACTTCTCTTTTTAAAAAACTTTTCTTTTAGCTACAGGTGTTTCTTGGCCTGCACCGCTACATCTTGGAATCCAGTGGCAGCTCTACTCAGAAGATGCCCCCCCACTCCTTCTCCAAAGTCCAGGTGGAGAAAAAGCAACCACTGTTTGCCTCCTTGAACCAGAGTAAGTCCCAAGATCCTAGGATTTTGAACAGAAGAGGGAGCTTCCGTGCACCCACCACCCCGCAACACCACCCTGAGGGTTCCAACTGCCCATGCAAATTCATCCCGAGCAGGCTTCCCCTTGGCAAGTCCCCCACTCACCTGCCCGCTGGTTACCCGGCGTCCCTACAACGTGGCCCTGGATGGGCTGGTTGCGGCCGTCCTTGATCTCAATGGTGAGAAGGGTTTTCATAGCGTCGTCGGAGCTGGGGTTGTGCGCTTGGGAAGGCAGGGGGTTGCCGGAGGAGGTGCTCAGCTGGGCACGGGGCTCCTCTGAGCCGGCAGACCTCCCCTTGGCATTTTCAACAGGCTGCCGGGCAGGTGTCAGCTTGCTGCCCTGCCATTGGTTGCTGTAGCTCCGCCCCTTGGGACCATCCACCTCTTTAGGGCTGGCTGGACCCTGAGCTGAAGGCCGGACTGTCCCAGCTTTTGCTTGAGAGGAGGCGGGCTTTGCTGCCTGCTCTGTGCCAGTACTGGACTCCCTCGTTCGCCTGGTGCCATCCTGGAGAGTGCTGCCAGCGCCGCCACTACGGACTCCCGCAGGTAAGTCTGTCACACGCTGCGGGTGCAGGATCTGCTGCTGCTGCTGCAGGACACGAGAGCCCCTGCTGGCACTCTCCCCCTTCTGGGGGGCTGGAGAAGACACAGTTTTACTGGGGGGCTCTGAGCTGAACTTGCGAGCACGTTCCCACACAGAGCCAGACCTCTGGAAGGGCTGCTCCCGTCGTGGATCTGCAAGAAAGTGGGGCGGGGGGGAGAGAGGAGAGAGAGATGTGTTTGTTGGCTTGGGAACGGAGACCAGTTATATCACAGCTGGGAATCCTGCCAAGCTTCTTGATAGAAAGTTTGGACCCCGCAGAAGAAAATGCTTATGCTTCCCATGTCATTATAGCTCTCCAGCAACCTTCCCTCAATCAAAACAAACCAAAAGAAAACCCCTACTCAGCTAACTCCCATTGTAGGAGAGCTTTCCCCTCCTCCTGCTGACTTGCCCCGGGTAGAGAAAGAAAATCCCACATCTGGACAAGCAGGCCTCGCCCCATTAACAATTTCCCAGGAATCCCGGCCAAGTTAATGACTAGGCCCCTAAGTGGACTCTCGGACCCCCCTCCCTATGTCCACTCACAGTCAGTAGGGGAACCCACCGTCTTCCCTCTTGCACAAAAAGTCATTGGGAGGCAGAGGCATCGCCCGGTGCATGTTAGATCGTGATGGGCAGTTGCTGCACCGCACACTAAATCCTCTCCTTTCCTGAGGCCCGTAGTCCATCTATCACATCCCTCCAGGTGGCACATCAAGGTACCTAACTCAGTTTATCATTCATTCATTCATTTTATTGAATTTCTAGCCCTCCCTCTCCTGGTGCTCAGAAATCAGGGCGCGTTGCAACAATTAAAAAGTAGTCGCAGAATATAATTATACAACAGATTAGACAATTAAAACAACACATTTGACAACTAAAACGTAATCACAGAATATTAACCCATGACACCCCAGATGGCAATCAGGCACAATTAACAGATGTTCCCAAGAAGACTATCTGTATGAGTGCTCAGAATAAAACCAGACCCTGGGTCAGCGGAGAAGAGCTACAGACAACTTGGTTTGCAGCAAGTATAAGACAGTAGAATATAGTAAATACAGTACATAAATATTAAAAATACAAGATAACATAAGAACATTAAAAACAGTAGAGACGACAGCCAGACGGGCAAGCTCAGAGCTGGGCTAGAGGCACCAAGCAAAACCTAAGATCACGAGGCTTGCAAAGAACCCCACCCAGCACCACAGCGGTCTTCCCTGGCTAGGTAACAAAGCAGCAGATGTGACAGAACAAGAGCACACACCTAGCATATCAAAGAGGCCAGGACATTACCTGTGACGGTAATCAGCTGCGGGGTAGTCGGTGCGGTGCTGCAGTGGAGGTCGGGGACGTCATGTGACGGAGCTGCCAGGCAAGAAGTTGGAAAAGGATTGGTGGAGAATGTCAAGGGTGAAGGAAAAGGGCAGATAAAGTCACATCCGACATGGGGATTCCCAAACTCACGGGCCCTTCAAACAACCTGGGTCAGCAGTGAGCCCCCAAATCCTTATTCCATGGGTCAGAACACCCCACAGTGTCTTGGTCCTTAGCAAAGATACTGATTGGCATCATCGGTGCAGTGTTTTGGAGCAGCACGCCTCACAGTCATACTTATTTAAAATATACTTATATTCTGCTTTTCTCCCAACCAATGGGACTTAATAGCAGCTTACATCATTAAAACCAGCTAAAACCTTGTTTTGGAAGAAAATACAAACGTGAAGAAAAAGGGGAGAGAAGGCTGTCTATCCAGCCGTAAAAACTGATCCTCAGCCACAAGCTTCGTCCCCCAAAAAAATGCCTTCTGAAAACTTTGCAGAGTTGAGGGCCTTCCCCAAGTCTTCAGGAAGCCCGTTCCACAGAACAGAAGTGGTCCGCCAGAAAGCCCCAGCAGAAACAGTTCCCATTTGCCTGAGCACAGGAACCATTGTTAGTCCCTGGGCTTCAAGACTTCCTAGGACAGCCCTGCAAAGCAGACCATACTACTGTTATCCCTGCATGGCATACAGGGGGACTAAGCCTGAGGGACAGCAGCTTGCCAAATACAAGAGGGAGAATTCGTGATAGTCTACTAGAGTAAAAAAAGGAAGAGGAGTCCAAAAGAGGGGTCCCTCTGATACCTTAAAGGATAACATGTTTATTGTAGCAGAAACCTTTTGAGTTTGCAGTGGTTGAGGCTTTGAACCAAGGACTTCGTGCCTCAGCCTCTCGGCCGCTACCCCACGCAGGGCTCTCACTTGCATTTCTACACTTCAAAGGCTTCCAGCCGCAGATTAGGACGCTGCCCACAAATACACACCGGCTTCTCCTATCGCATTTCCCCCAGCATCTAAGGCCCGCCTTGGGCGGCCTTGCATTCAGTCCTGACATGGCTACAGCTGCAGTGGCCAGCAGGACATTCTATGATTCCCCACGGCCCCTCACCCTACTATTGTGAGACCCTCCAAAGCCTAGGGCCGCCGTCCTTGTAATTCTGGTAATGATGCGTAGCGCCTATAGCACGTTTTTTTGATCATTCCTAGCATTTTGCACACTCTACCTTAGTGCCAGTGTGGTACTGTGGTTCGAATGGCAGACTATGGGCCAAGGACAGACAGGTTCAAATCCCAGTTCAACGGTCAAGCTCACTTAGATGGCCTCAGGCAGCCACCCTCTTCCACAGCCTCACTGACCTCAAAGGAGAGAGGGGACCCTGCAGGCCACCCTGAGAGTGAGTGGGACAAAGCTCTCCTAAAACAAACAAAAAATTCTTCACAACCCTGGGAGGCAGGCCAATCCTAATATCCCCTCACTGAGAGAGAGCA